GGGGGGGTGTGGGGGTTTTTAAACTGGGAAATGTGTATTTATGGTAATTATGATTATAATCAACAATCACTTCTATCTTGAAATATAACTTTTTGTTTGGGTGATTGGTGTATTATGTTATAATCTCTGCCAGGGGAGAGTTAATGAGAAAAGTGTTAGACGAGTAAACGACGGAACATCTAAAGATTATTTTAAAAAGTGTATTTATAATGTCGAGAGTATGGAACAAAAAAAAAGTATCTTATAACGATTCAAACTATTTGTGGAGAAACGTAGAGAAATTAGGCGCTCTTAAGTATAATGGAATCAAAGAATTCAACATTTTCCCAACTTTTTGGCAATTTTCATCAATCTTCTTTTTTTATCTCAGCATCTTTTGTCCATTAAAAAACACATTTCTGAGTAGTTTTACTGAAAGAAAAGTTGATCGAAGGCACAATAAATATGAATTTGCTGTTTCTAAGAACTCACAAGCTTTAGAAGTCAACTAACTTTATAGGGTCTATTTTTTGTTCACTTATTTTCCCCCGCCACAAGACGACTCCCACTTTCCTCAGTTGCAAATATCTCGACTTCTATTCCAGGTAGATGGGTAATTTTTTTTCAAAAGCAAGACAAATGGACAGGCTTTAGGATGATACATTGATGCCAATAACTCCATATGCCCAAAAACTGACGAGCGCCTGATTCCACTGTGTCTCGACACATCTTCCATATCTGATAGACATGTGATATATAGGTCGTATTTTGTGTTGAATGTAATGACTGATTGTACAAGTTTAACGTCCACATTGAGTACATTTTGGTCATTTGAGTTTCTCCTTCACGTGGCGTCAATACAACGTAATTGTGGCCCACGGAGATATATATGTGTACAAGGTCAAAACACGACCTGAACTGGTTAGGGGATTGGGGGAGGAGGTTCGGTTTTCAAATTATATTTATTTTGTATTTTTTGTGGTGTTTCTTTTTACTTGAAAAGGTCGTAGTTACGGCAAAATTGAAAAGAGGGGGGGGGGGAATAGGGGGAAGGGGGAAGGGGCTCTTTGGGCTTTTAAGTGTCCCGAAGAGCGGCATTTGTTCGACATGTTACTTTTCTTCCATACCCTACATTTAAAGATTTAAAAACGTCTAGGAAAATCCACACTTTATGGCTTACTTATGGTTGGAAAGTTTCTTTGAAGAAGTCAAAACTGTAGGAGTATGTGTGTGGTATAGCGTTTGGGCGCTTTCTGGAGACGAGAGTTCGACTTCCATCATGTCCAGAAAAGTTTTAGTTTTATAGAATTTTCATTGAGTGTCTCCATTTGCCTACTGAAACGTTGCATCCTTACTTTCTTTCCTTTCTTTAATTTATCTCCTTTCTTTTCCTTATCTCCTTCCTTTTACTTTCTTTCAATTCTTGTACTTATACCTCTTCTTTTATCCTTCTTTCCTTTCTTTCTTTTTACTCTCTTTACTTCGTTTTACTTTTCTCCGTCCTTTTACCTTACTGTCCTTCCTTTTTGTTCATTCTCTGCGGTAATGAGCCTTTCACGAAGCACGTATCATAATATTGAATTTCGTTTTTAAAAAAAAATCAATTGGTATAAATCAAGTCTGCCCACCCCCTCCCCCTCAGGTTAATCTGACTTGTTTTCTTTTGAAATATTTCAGTTGCCAGATTCTGATCTTTGTCACACACACAACACACATGCACACTAGCACACATACACACACACACACACTAACACACACACACACACACACACACACACACACACACAACACACATGCACAC